AGCCACTGTGTCAATCCATCTCATTGAGGGTCTTCCTCTTTTTTGCTGATCCTGTACTTTACCAAGCATGATGTCCTTCTCCAGGGACTGAACCCTCCTGATAACATGTTCAAAGTATGTAAGACGTAGTCTCACCATCGTTGCTTCTAAGGAGCATTCTGGTTGTACTTCTTCCAAGACAGATTTATTCATTCAGTCCGCAGTGTATTCAATATTCTTCACCAACACCATAATTCAAAGGTGTCATTTCTTCTTCCATCTTCTTTATTCATTGTCCAACTTTCACGTGCATAAGAGGCAATTGAAAACACCATGGCTTGGGTCAGGCGCACCTTAGTCTTCAAGGTGACATCTTTGCTTTAGAACACATTAAAGAGGTCTTTTGCAGAAGATTTGCCAAATGCAATGCATCTTTTGATTTCTTGACTGTTGCTTCCATGGGTGTTGATTGTGGATCCAAGTAAAATGAAATCCTTTACAACTTCAGTCTTTTCCCTGATTATCATGATGTTGCTAATTGGTCCAGTTGTGAGGATTTTTGTTTTCTTTATGATGAGGTGTAATCTATACTGAAGTCTGTGGTCTTTGATCTTTATCAGTAAGTGCTTCAAGTCCTCTTCACTCTCAGCAAGCAAGGTTGCGTCATCTGCATATGGTAGGCTGTTAATGAGTCTTCCTCCAATCTTGATGCCCCGTTCTTCATATAGTCCAGCTTCTCGGATTATTTGCTCAGCATACAGACTGAATAAGTATGGTGAAAGGATACAACCCTGATGCACACCTTTCCTGACTTTAAACCATGCAGTATCCCCTTGGTCTGTTCGAACGACTGCCTCTTGATCTATGTACAGGTTCCTCATGAGCACAATTAAATGTTTTGGAATTCCCATTCTTCCCAATATTATCCATAATTTGTTATGATCCACACAGTCGATTGCCGTTGCATAGTCAATGAAACACAGGTCAACATCTTTCTGGTATTCTCTTCTTTCAGCCAGGATCCATCTGATATCAGCAATGATATCCCTGGTTCCACATCCTCTTCTGAATTTCTGAAGTTCCCTGTCGATATACTGTTGCAGCTGCTTTTGAATGGTCTTCAGCAAAATTTTACTTGTGTGTGATATTAATGATATTGTTAGGTAATTTACCCATTCTGTTGGATCACCTTTCTTGGGAATAGGTATAAATATGGATCTCTTCCAGTTGGTTGGTCAGGTAGCTGTCTTCCAAATGTCTTGGCGTAGGTGAGTGAGCACTTCCAGTGATGCATCTGTTTGTTGAAACATCTCCATTGGTATTCCGTCAATTCCTGGAGCCTTGTTTTTTTCCCAATGCCTTCAGTGCAGCTTGGACTTCTTCCTTCAGTACCATCGGTTCCTGATCATATGCTACCTCTTGAAAAAGTTGAGAGTCGACAAATTCTTTTTTTGTATTCCTT